ACACAGCGAATAGGCAGAGTCCGGATAAACGGAGAGAAAGAGAGAATTAGAGAGGAGAGACGAAGGAGGTGAATCATTGTAATATTTTCAGAAGCGCGTGTTTGACGATCTTGGCAAAGGGATTCTGGAAAACGCATGGGCCGGTTACAATTGTTCACTGTTTGCCTACGGACAAACAGGAAGTGGAAAGAGTTACTCGATCGTCGGATTCAAAGGCAACAAAGGTGATCTTATAGTCCTTTCCATGATATCTGTACGTTGTTCGCTAGGCACCCATTGGGAATTTGGCAAAGTCAAGCCCCTAACCCACACACCAGGCCGCGCCGCCACAGCGCGCGTCTCAAGCAGGTTTGGCACGGAGCCGTATGGGGGCTCCTAATTCGCAAGTGGTGCTCCAACCATACGATAGCATAGCTAAAAAAGAAGGGAATGATGACAGGCAGCAGATTTTACCTCATAGCCTTGGAACCTATTTCACAATGAAAATTTCAAAACCCAATCCATTTTTTGTTCAAATTTCAATATTGTTAGTTAATTCGCTGAATTATACCTCTTGAATTGTCAGCTGTTTCAAGGAATTGTGCCGACGTTCTGCGAAGAACTATTCAAAGATATCGAGGCAAAAAAGGAAAATGGTAAAAAAGCCGGCTCGTACGAAGTCTTCATTTCCATGTTTGAAATCTATTGTGAAAAGGTAAGTTTGAATGACGTAAAATAACTTTGTGCCAAATTCCTGATTCGTGAACGATTTTTAAAGATACGAGATCTGCTGTCAAACAAGGAACCGCCAAAAGGAGGACTCAAACTACGAGAACATCCGAAAAGTGGATTCTATGGTGAGAAATTGATAATTGATAAGTGGCATTTTGTGAAAACCAGCAACGGATAAACAGCAACGCCCCTACCTTTTTATGTCACAGGATTTATTGATGCATTACCTCTACAACCGTGCCCCCTAGCCATACTGTGTTGTCGTCGCGACTGGAAGGTGACGAGGACAGAAGCGAAGATGGGGAGGGGAAGGGGTGGGCAAGCCAACCACTGTCAACGATAAGTCCAAATCAGTGTTGATATCGTTTTGTCGAGATAATGTAATTGTTTTCTACAATATAGATAACCTTTTGGTGCGATACATCACTCTTAGAGGTGCTGACTCCAAGAATTAGTCAGCGTAGTGGAAGGAGAGTAGCGTGCGCCCGAAAATGGCGATCCCGATATTGGCCGGGAGACAAAACTGGTAAAGTATAAATGATAAAGGTTAGGGCGGTGATCAATCCCTTATGAGAAGCGCCGTACATTTTACTCCCACTCAAAATCGCAAAGGCATTTGAGTGCTGTGTGGTCCAGACATGGCATGCGAGGGCCATGCATCAGTTTTTGTATTCCCAGACAACTCTGGAACCAACTGATCAACTCTGGTGGGATGAATTGCTTGGTTGGGGCGAGATTCGATCGAATATTGGGCTAGATTGTGCACATGGTAAATGGAGCCATTCGCCACTACATCGCCACCACACTCCCTGAACAGCCCTAAAATCACTTAAAAACCCTGGAAATAAAAATTAGCGCTACTCTCTTCCTGGTAGTCTTCAATTTCATTTAGATTATTTTCAGTCGAAAACCTTTCAAGTGCACCGGTGAACTCGTACAAAGAGATCGAGGCCAAAATCGAACAAGGCACCAAGAATCGAACGATTGCCGCCACTAACATGAACGCTACGAGCAGTCGGTGAGGACAGTTAGCAGATGTGTTGGCATTCGCAGATCTGTT